CTTCTATACTTTTTAGCACGTAGTTATGTATTATTAGCTTCGTTCTTCCGACGTCTGATTTCTTTTTAATTATAGCAAATGTGTTTTTCTAAGGTGCATAAATTTTTAGGATTGACTGTATAGCCAATACATCCTTAAGTTCACGGGGATACTTGCCGAAGAAACAGTGGAACTGTTTGACTATGTGTGAAAATAAAAGGGAAACGACATTTAGATCGCTTATCGAGGATCTCTATTGAGAATTGCATTCGTTTTATAGAGCACATAGACTCGTGAAATGGCTAACGGATCGCGCACGGAACTTCGCAATGCGAGACACTGCGTAGAACTAAGTAGTTATCCTTGCATTTCCACGCGGTTCTCTTGTCAGATCGGAATAATGATAGGCAATAAACAGGAGGCCAGTTCGCAGTCGAGAGGCGTAACGTGCATCGATACTTAACCCAGCCTATCAACCTCAGAAATCGAGACCATCAATTCCGCGACGCGTTATTACCAGCAACGTACGATCCCTTTTCGATACGATACCATCGATGATCTATGAATAAAATCCTCTAAAAATTCATCTGGGTATTACCGATTACTCTTGACAAAAAGTATACATCCAAATGCAATGAATCAACAAGGGCTATAATTATAATTGGTTCCTTATTGAATTCGATGAATGATTCCAAGATTTCTTAGTAAAACCACTGAATAATGAATTACTTTAGACAACAGTTTTTATTCATTCACCCTATACACATACACAACTGACAACATGCCAAAACAGGTTTTCTTAATGTGATTGTATTTAGATAAAATTTATTCAACTGTCACTCAGACTTGTATTTGAAATGTCGATCAAAGCCGGATTATAACAAGTCACGATGCGTACTTAATCTTTAAACAGCTTCGTTTCATTTATAATTACTATTAAACATAAAAATTGTTTGAAAAAATATTTTTAAACAATAGAGAAACAAAACGATATCAAAATTTCATTTTGTCAACTTCTACGATGGCGTAGCACGCCTGTATATAATATTCCATTAATATGATCGAGTTCCGCGTTGTTCCTCCCTATAATTGAATCGCGTTTCCTGTTTCCGTCGAATCCAACAAGCGCCAATCAAACCAGGCTCGATACTAGCCACGGCCACTCTACCACGCTCCTTTAATTCAATTTTCAAGTTGGCGGTTTTGATCGCCGATAGAAAATATCGTGTTCCCATCGCGTCCCGTCGTATTGGACCGCGGACTAACAACAATAGCAATTTGTTATACGGTTAACAGCCGGGGCGTTCGTTTCTAACTCGATTTCCAAGTTTCTCGCGGAAGTTCCGAGCGCGAAGTGGAGAGTGCCAGCCTGTTGAGGTAATATAGCATGGTCCCTGCTGGTCAGCGGATCGGTTGGACTGCGTCCAGTCGACCGGAGTCGAGGAAGGCAAGTGGGACTCCAGATACATACGTATAATGCTCCGAAATGTGTTCATAGAAGATATCTATACAGTATAAAAAGCGCTATGCGCCATATGTAACCTGCTGTACGATTCTCACTACGTTCACGATTCAATGATTTATATACATACTAATTCTTGGCTCGGAATACGATTCTATCTACAGTACAGATATTCGCACCGGGAACTTTCACCATTGATATTATGGGAACTTAGAGCGTTCCTCAAATTCCTATTTAGAGCGTTCCTAAATTCTGAAGTATATTTATAATACGTTTTAATAAAATATTTTTATGAGAGGTGAGATTTAATTCATTCACAGTCTAGAACTTGTTACTTAAACGTAGAAACTGTGTTTCTAATGTCCTGAAAAGAAGCTTTGTTCTCGAGCCACGAGTATGAATCTCCGCTCGAGTTTCGAGGCTGCAACAAGAGCAAACGTACTTACAATTTGGCTAAGCCGTGACACGTCTAAAGGACTCCATTTTTAGAACGCACGAGGGAGACGCTAAGTTATAATTCGGAACGCGAGGCTGGAGAACGTGAGTTAGTCACCGGGTGCGCATTTGCGTCGCACGTTTCCAGCGTCGTATCGTTATCATCATGGCGGTGTTGAAACGACAAAGAGGATGGGTCCGGTAGGTATCGGAACACGCAGGGATCGTAACCGCGAGCTTATCGCATCGCGTGCGCCGTTGGTTAGTCGCGGAGGGGTACTTGTTTGTTTCGTTCACCTGATCGTCGGAGAAGACACACTTGACGTTAATCCAACGGTGCGCCTTGACGGTGCAGTTGCAGCCGTCCATCGCGCATATCCCGGGCGGTGCACTCTCGATGTTACCAGGCAGAAACACGAGGCACCACAAAAACACCGACCATACGATCGCACGATCACACTTTAGCCCGTCGAGGGCACTGAACACTCTTCTTCTGCCGCTCATCTTCCCGGATTCCTCGACGCGATTCTCTGGAGAACAAAAGGTCGCGGTTGTTGCACTTCGGCAACCACGATCGATCGCCTTCGATTTTCCCTAGAGATCTTCTTCACATCGTTCACTAGCTCTCTCACCGATACCCGTACACCAGATACACTTTCATTCGGATTCGATACCCGTTTCTCGTGATCTTCAAACCGGTTTCATTTGTCTGGATCGATCGACGGATCGGACGCTCCGAAATCTTCCCGATGTCGCTGGTATCAATTATATATCGATCGAATCGCTTCGATCCAATATCTTTTCGGAACCGGATTTCTCTTCGAATTCGCGGGAGACCGGAACGCGTTCAAAAATAAAGAGATGAAAAGTGGACGGAAAACAGGCTCGAACGGGAATCCGCCGCGAGCAAAGTCTGAAACACGCGCGCGGACGGCTGGTTTCCGATGAGGTGGGGCACAACTAGAAGCCAGCTGACGCGATCATGACGGAGGTTGCTTTCAAACTGTGGTCGGTGGCATGCACGATCGGTGTCTCCTCCCCACCAAAGAACTGTGTTTCTTGCCTTGGCTTGCCTTGCTTCGCTCTCGCGTTACTCTCCCTCTTCGGCCTTTTAAAAGATAAAAGCCAACCATGAAGAGCGTGTGTTGGAGGCCAGACCGGAGGGGCGAACTCCGTTCGACACGCCGCCACACCGGTTCAACAGGGTTCGTTCCCTGTGCTCGAATTGGCGACAGAGGGAAAGGGATACGGTAGGGCTTATTGTTAGGACTGGGACACCAGTGTTCGAGCAGGTCGCGGGGTCGGTGCACTTGCTGCTTTCGCCCGAAGGGCCTGACCTTGACCAAGTTACTCGACCAAACAGATCTGTCCATCGCGAATCATGGATCCCCGTTACCGTGTTTTACGTAACACGTGTTTGTGTGCGGTTTCTGCGCTCGTGGGAGAGGAATCGTACCTGTTGATCCACTGTAGATATCAGTTCCTGTTCTTTATTACTTTCCCGGTTCATTTTTCACCCTAGAGAATATCGTCTGTGGTTTTGTTGGTATCTTGTTTTGATTCCGATTCTTATCATCAATTTTACTACATGCGATTCCGATTTAATAACAAATCAATTTCACAGTGTAATAAAAAATAAAAAATAAGAGAACTATGTGTAGTTCATTTCAAATTATAAAACCTGCGAACTCCTTAACATTGTAATACCAGCGTAGAAATTGAGAAAAGTGCAAAACGGTGAAATATGCTTCTTGTACAACGTGCAGTCCGTTCGAAACTCGAAACCCAGCCCGTGTTCGGGGCAGCGTAAAAACGAAACGAAAGCGTCTCTTCATGGTCACCGTCGGTTTCCATGGTAGACAGCGTTTCCCTAAAGTACCACCGCATCGTGGCACTTCGCTTTATGAGCAGAAAGTCCGCCTGGCCATTTAATTTCCCATGAGAAATTGCGCGTGTCCGTGCAGCTTCAACCGGCTGACTGAGTTGGCGCGGCTCGGCGTCCCGCCGTGTTCCGCGTCACACATGCGAAACGTCCATTCATTCATAACGCCCGTCTCAAACGAGGAAGCACCTGACGCCGACCGAAGTGGCCATTTCCGAAATGACCACGTGCTGACCATACGTCACATCGGTGCCGACCTTAAAGCCGGCAGCTCCCAATTTCAAACGGGCTATCCTACTGATGCGAACGCGCATCCAGGATACCGCCGAGTTCGATTTCGTTTCACGTTCCTTTCATCGATCTTCCTCTGTCTCGCATTACTCGGCGCAAATCGGTAAAATGAGACCCGCGCCAAGGATATTTCATGGCCTTGGTACCAGCGGACACGTATCGACGTTTATGACGAATGAATTCTCTATAATATTACCTTCCGGTCCTCTCTTGGTCGCGATCGATGCCATATTGTTTTAACACGTGATACAGTTTGTCCCAGTTTCACACAAAATGTGATTTAACATTATTAAAATTATGGTCATCATTCACTTATGATTTATTTCTTTACATGAAAATTAGTTATACTTTAATAAATTTCTCTGCAAAGTTAGCGACAAGTTTTGATTAAATTCCCTTCGGAAATTACTCGATACCGGTTTAGCCACCTGTTCCTTTGAACGCAGCCAAGTACGATTCTCGTTAAGAAGCCGTTCTCGTAGCTTAGGAACAGAATCGTTGAAGCGATGATGCCGTACAGTATAGGTAGCATGGCCGCAGTAGGCGAGCTACAGAGGGCAGAATTGCGACGTGATTGCGCCTTATTAGGAATGAGTCCGACGATGACTCGCTAGGGGAAACGGCGATTGTCTGGCTGCCAGAGGAGCATCGTCCTCAGCTCGTGATCTACCCAGACGAGATCCGCGAAACGGAGCACCAATTAGAGGCATCGCGGCTCGGGAACTCGTTCTAACGAGACGGCTACCTGAAACTCCTCGCGATCGCGACCCGGTTCGGGGCCACTTTTTGACCTACAATGTAACTCTGAAGCTTTCAAGTTTCCTTGCTTTCAAACTCGCTGCCTGTTCAACGGAACAGCTTGGAATTTAATTATGCAGAACGGAATGAAGTAGTTGGAATTTGTTAAGTTCCAGACTGGTAGATTGGAAATTTGATATTGATAAAAAAATTGTGACGGCACGAAACATTGACATTGTTCTGGGTTTCATCAGTCGTGTAATGTAATCGAAGAGATATTATTTTTTTATTTACAGTGGTCACTCGAACGAACGGCTTTTTCTGCGAGATTTTATCTCCTGCTCAACGGGAACCAGCGGAGGCCGTTTAGCGAGATGGTTACAGCCGGACAGTTTCGTGGATCCCTCGGTATGCGAGGCGCTTTACTCCAAGGACGAAATAAAGTGCGGATGCCCGGCCATCGTTACAATTCTCACCAGAGACCAATACGGGGACGTTGTTCATGTACCGAATTTGAAGGTATGGCAGCAACTACGCATCCTTCTCGAAATAGCCAATACATCAAATTCGCATGATTATCCATTACATTTTCTGCTATAATCAAGTCCTCGAATGAAGTGTGATAATTGATGAATCGTTTAGCACTGAGGACAGTTTTCATGCACAATTTCTTAGGTGGAAGTAAAAGCAGTTCCCATAGACAAGAAAGACGTAGGAGATTCGGACCGAACTTCCCAACCTGATCCCATGACCTTTGGTGGTCACCCTCAACCACCTTTGGATGTACCGTACGAGGTCACGATCAACAACAAGACCTGTTTCTACGCTATTACCATGATGAAGGCTTATCAGAATTATTCGTTCGAGGAACTAAGGTTTATGTCACCGACCGTAAAAAGGTCTATTGAAAGCATGCTAGTTAGACCCAACGGCGATGGGAGCTACAGCGCAACCTGGACACCGTCATCGGTTGGATGGTATTCTCTCATGGTCACAGTGGATGGATACAACATGGAGGATGTAAATATCGCATTCGAGTTTCTACATTGAAATCCACGATGTTTTGCAGTATTTTGATCATTGCGTCGTTTTGCGCAGAAATACAAAGTGGAGGTAAAAGAATCACCGCAAGGCATGCAACCGCCCACTCAGAACATGGTGAAGAAACCACAGCATCAACCGAGCAAGCTTCGAAAATTCGTAGCGAAGAATAGTGCCGGATTGAGGATCAGAGCTCATCCGTCTCTACAGAGCGAACAAATTGGTGTCGTTTCGGTTAACGACACTGTAGCCTTCATAGACGAAGTACGCGATTTTACTGCTTTCAATTAATTGCTTTAATCTCCTGGAACGTTACGCTCACATCTTTATTGAAACATCCGTTCTTTGCACCGTGACGTTGTTCCCTTTCATAGATTCACAACGACGATGGTATTTGGCTACGATTGAACGCTGAAACGATAAAGGAGTACTGCAGCAGCAGTCATTTAGAAGCTTGGTGTCTGCAGTACAATCAACATTTGGGAAAAACGTTGCTTCTTCCAGTAGAAGAGCCTAAATCGATTTTGGATCAAGTTATCAAAGAAACTATAATGCGCAAGAGACCTGAAATAGTCGACGAGTATGTCGCTCAATTCTTAGTAATTTGTTCCAAAGTTTTATCTGAATAGAATTTTAATGCTTCTAATAAAATTGGTTTAGTAAAAGGAAGACGGTTACGTTCGACGGTAGTAGAAGTATGGTTGTCGTAGTATGCGGAGCTTCCGGCCATAACATTCGAAATAAACCTCGATTAAACGCGGTACCGGTGGGAAAGTTAGCTCTTGGAAACTCAGTGACCATCCAGGAATATGTACGTTTCAATAATAGGGATAGAAATCGAAGAAGCATTCGATTAAAAAATCTTTGCTGCAGTTTGTCAACAGCGAAGGTACTTGGGTACGCATGGATGACGAATCGATGGCGAAGTATTGTTTTCGCAAAGGCCGGATACCTGAAGGCGAAGCTTGGTCGCTGGCGGTCAGTAAGCACGGAGTTACGTACATGAAGCTCGAACAAGACCTTGAGAACGATCCGATCGAGAAAAAACCTACCATGCAAGATCCGTCCGATTCGCCCAACCACAAAGGCTTCGATTTTTCTATGCCTTCCGTGAGTCACGAGGGCTTCAATTTCACCGCGCAAAATTTTACACCAGGTACAGCCGAATCTGGAGAGGGTAGTAATACAAATCCGTTCGTTTTTGGTTCATACAACCAGCACGATTCTCCAGGTACCATTGCCCGGGAGCAATGCTCGTTTGAATTAATTCCGCGCATCATTCATTTTCCTTATTCTGCAATTCAGGAAGCGATAAGCTTACGTCGGAAAAGACTGAAGTTTCGCCAAAGTTTTCCAAGCCTCATTCCAAGGAGAGAGTAGCAAAGGAGAGAGAAAGGGAAGGAGGCGGCGGGAAATTGAGCGTTTTGCAGAAATGGCTGAGAGGGGACGATAAGTGCCACGGAGAGAAAAGAAACTCCCCCGGCAGGTGGGTGGGAAAAAACGAGTGACGAATCGCGCGCAGTTAGATTAGTTTCGTCATATAGTTTTGGTATTTGCAGGGACTTTTCCGAATTCGTCGGGGTGTCTGTCAAGGAGCTGGTAAAAGCGATAGGCGAGAGTCGAGCGAACGGTAATGGGCCAACGCCACCGGAGACGCCGAGAAGATTATCGAGAAGCTCATCGCCGAAGAATCCCCAAGGTGGGTCACCAAGATTTAACAGCCCATCCTCTAGTCCGGTCCTAATACCCGGTACGTATACGCTTTATTTGTAACATATATAGTAAACGAATCGCTGCTATACTCTACGACAGTCTACTAAAGTTCTATTGTCTTTTTCTTTTACTTAATAATCTTACTGTTGATCTCGTAAATTCATGTGTGTGTCTTACTTCACACTTTTGGCACCTTAACTGGTCCGAGGAGGGAATCATTTCAGAAGCTGAGAGACCCGATATTAATAATTGTGAGATCGCGTACCGCCCCGCAGATATTTTTATATTATATTCTATCAGATGAAATTAATGATTAGAGTGAACCATTAAGTTTGAATAAGTCACACCTTTCCGGTTAATGTTATTCTATAGTCGATGAACGTTAGGCTATAAATATATACACAAATTAAGATCTTTGTCGGATTAGTTATAACAAAATAGTGATGTTGCTCTTAGCTGGGTCCAGTCGGCAACCAGTTGGTTCTGGTAATTGCCTCTTCCCTCCTGCTGCTCATGCACCAGGTACTCGCTCCTTTCCTACTCGACATAATCCTCAGTCTGTACAGTTAAGAATAGTGTATAGTGTTTAATTGTTAATTGTTCGGAACACGTATTACTGAATTACACCGATCACCCGAAAAATTTATATAGAAAAAACACACAATAGCACTGTAGATTCTTCTTGTTGATGTATGAACACCAGACATGATCAAAATGCATGCTGATCATAGTATACTATTTTTAATAATAATAAAAGCAGTCATATACATTGCACGTGCAAGCTAAAGTTTACAAGATAGAGATTAAGATTAACAGCGCACGCACAGAGGTGGTAGCTTGCAAATAGGTCATAGCACATCACATACGAATTCTACAAGTACCTAATTGAAAATTATCAGGTGGGAGATCAGGTTTAATAGGAGGGGGAGACAGTATCAGTAGCAGCCCTGTGCTCTGTGGCTCCCCTCGAAGTGTTGCTCTCTCCCCATTAGGTAAGAAATGCAATACACATTAATACTCTCTGACTCTGTACATATATGTACACCTGAACTTAATACTTACGATTAGATTCAAATCTAAACAATTACTTTTTTTCAAATCACATATGTATACATGTAACACAATCAATCAATTCATTCGAACTTCCGCTTTTTCATTCACTCACGCGATAGACTCGCACGACTTACATTGCACGAAGTTAATGCGAATGTCACGTTAAATCTGTTCGATTCTTTTCTACACATATCCATGGTTGCTCATGAAAAGCAAGGTGAGATAATAATATCCTTGCGTTTAAAAGAGAAAAGTTAATAGCTAGTATAAAATAATTTGTAAAGAAATGCGATTGCCGTGTACGAAGATGTGATTTCTCTTTTTCAAGTTTCGGGTGGGATGATAGATAGCATCACGTCGCAGCGACGAGGATCAACGCAAAGCGACACAAGTGCCTTGGTCAGTAGTTTAACAAGGGATCCTTCGCAATCTCCAAGTGCTGTCAGCACGACTGCCAATACTCGCGATCTCTCTCCAAGCCCGAGTTGTAGTTCTTTACACATGAGATCCGAGGGTAGTATAGCTAGTCCACCTGATACTCCGAAGCAAGAGGGCGGAGTAAGTCATCGAACGTTTATAATTTTACTTTTCTTCGAGTTGCGAATTTTTAACTATGAAACTGACGTCGAGCTCATGATCTTATAATTGTCTACTTTTATCGAAGGATTCTCAAGAGAGCCCTAGGAAAGTTTCCCAAGCACAGACGCAAACAAGTCCCGAGAGTGCGACTACGGCTATGAAAGGACATTTCAGCATCGGTACCACTGGCCCGAAAGATGTTCCGAAAATAACTAGAAGAGATCACGCGAAGGTAGTGAAAACCAGGACGAAACGCACGATGTCACCGACGAATACACAGCAAAGTCCGAGTCGGACATTGAACTCGAGCAAGGATAAAGTGAAAGAGGCAATTAGCCCGTCAGTTGCAGAGTGTTTAAGAGCCGTGTTTGCAGCGTTCCTTTGGCACGAAGGGATCGTGCACGACGCGATGGCCTGCGCCAGTTTCCTCAAGTTTCATCCCAGTTTACCGAAGCAGGGCGCGCTCGTTGTTACCAGACAAACAGTGATACAGTCTGCAGACAAACAGAAACAAGAGCAGAAAGCCAGACAAAGACACTCCGTGGAAGTGATCAACGCTGGAAACTACTTATACATACAGCCCAGTACGGTCGAAGCTTTAACGCGGTCGGCCGCGAACGCAAACGCAAACAGGAACCGAAAGAAACAGAAAACAATAATTAAAGAGGAAGTTCAGGAAAACGGGAAGTTGGACTCCCTACCGGAGTTTCAAACGGTCGCGGTGTTGCCCCCCGCGCTAAAAAGTTTGGTATTCTTATGGGAAGAACTTAGTACCAATTGTCTTCAAACAATCGAGCAACAAACGATGAAATTGAGCAAACGACCGGAGAAACGACCTCGGGAAGATAAACTGAAGGAACGCGAGAAGAAAAGCAGCAGAAAGAAGAAGGAATGGAAACCAGTTGGTAGAGCGAACGGGTCCGACGTGTTAGGAGAAATAGAGCGGGATACGATTTGCGAATTGTGCGGTATGACGTTCCCGCATCCAGTGACGTACCATATGAAAATAATGCATCCTGGTTGTGGGTGGCAAGCGGGAGGAAAGGGTTACAACAGTTGGGGCAACTATTGTATCGGTTGGGCAGGAAATTGCGGCGACGGTGGAGTCGGTGGAAATTCGTGGTATCTCATGTGCGATACATGTCGGGATAAATACCTGCGTGCTCGAAAACTTAAACTCGCAAAGAAATTTTTAACTGGAATGTCGAAGAAAAAGAACGGTTCCAGCAAAACCGTGTCGCCACTTAGCAGTCCTAACGGAAACGAGACGCATATTATCATGAAGAACAATGCTATGTTCCTCTTAGACCTGGCTAGTGCGTCAGGACTGAGCATTCCGAAGCAACAGAGAAGACCCTCACAGACGTTGTCCTCTGTGGCAGAAAACTACAGTCCTCCAGAAGCAGCTGGACCTTTCCCACCGACCGGACCATTCCAGTGTTTGCAAGGTTTAGGCGTTCTTCATTCACAGAGTCACGACGAAAGGTACTACGAAGAAACACTGAGACGCCAAAACGGACATCAAACTTCTTATGAAGGAAACAATATTATGGCTAATACTACCAATGGAAGGGTAAGTAATCGATATTTCTGTTGAAGCACATATACTCTCATAACTCGTTTTACAGCCTTTATCGGAGTGTCCCATGAGTGACAGCGACAGTGAAAGTGGAAAAGGTCGCGGGGTGTTCCATCGATCTGTATCGATGTCCACCGGTGCGCCTTGGACCAGAAATTCGAATGACGGTAGAATAGTAATGATGCGAAAACGAAACAACAGTAGCAGCGAGATGAATACTGGTATGCAAACTACTTGACACAATAATTGAATTATTAAATAACGGAATTAAAGAATCTGTGTCTTTTTTATAATAGATACCGGGTCCTCCCTTTTATGTTACCCCTCGGCGGCATTGCAAAAGTTAGTGCCATCAATGAATCAATCGGCAATTGTGTCGACAACTCAAGAAGAGGTCACGAATAACGATAGAATAGAAATCCTTATGAGACCAGTAATGCTATTTGTTCTTCAACAACATAACTTACAACACTTGCAACTTGCGATGAAGCAAGCGGTAAGACGTGCTGCTTGCAGAGTTTACGCAATGCAAGCGCTAAACTGGTTGCTAAGAAGTGTAACGCAACCAATTTGTCTTCATGATTTATTATGGTGGTTTGTTGCGTCGTTAACACCTGCAGTGCCAACCGACATTGCTGATTCGAATGATGAGGACAATAAAACTGATAAAAAAGATGATCATGTAAGTCCGTTGGATTACTATTATTAATCTTCTTATAAATTTTTTATTGACTTAATGGCACATTAATGTTTTCAGGAAATGATTGGTGTGTGTGAACATCCTTTGAGCGACCTTCTTATAGCGGGTGAATCTGTTAATCCATTACCTTCAGTGTTTCATACGCTGCTACAAACTATTGCAGATTTGATGCTCTTACCACCGCCTGGTATGCATTTAACTTCTCTATACTATTATTTATCTACATACTTTAATCCAAGATGAGAAAAAATTTAATAATTCACTCTTTAGGTTCTCCATTACAACAAGCCGCTATTCGATGCTGGGGCATTAAATTCACACCTGCGGATCATATGTTCCTTCACAGAAGTCACGTTTTCAGTAACATCAGTAAAATATTATCAAGATCGGAAGAAGAAGAGGACGTCACAGTGAGCATGCATGAAAGCCATCAATCGATTCATTCCCAACAAGTTAGCGGTTGCGTCGAAGCCTTGAAAGATTTAACGTGTGGCGCAGAAATTAAAGCCTCGAGCAGACAAGCTATGATAGCTAGCTTGACTGATAATTCGACAGAAACCTTCTGGGAATCGGGTGACGAAGATCGGAACAAAACTAAAACCATTACGGTCATCTGTAGTGCTCGTTCTATTCCTTGGATAGTGTACATACATATTGATAACTGTCGTGATCTAACGGTAAGTTCTATAATTGATTCTATCCCTGTACGTTATTTTTATACTCATTGCGTTTATGCTACAGCACAAAGTATCCAGCGTAACATTTCAATCGGGTAATAACGTTGACGAAATGATTAAATTGAGAACTGTAGAAGTCGAGAGTCGATTTGCTGGTTGGATTAAGTGCGCAGTTACTGGTAAATATTTTTTATCATATGAAATCATTATGCGGATGTTCGGGTATAAAATTATATTTTTTCTTATAGATCCATATCATGTCATTATAGGCCTTAAACTAAAAGGCCCAGATAATTCTCTGCGTGTTCGGCAGATACGAATATTAGGTGCAATTGAAGGAGAATCTTTAAAGATTGGAAAGCAGTTGAACGCGCAGACCATTCAACAAAGAAATTGTGAAGCAGAAACATTAAAAGTTTTCCGTTTAATTACTTCCCAGGTATTTTTTCAATTATATGTAATTTTTATCTATTATTTATACATTTTACTTAAAAACTAATATTTTCAGGTGTTCGGTAAACTCATACAGGGTGATCAACAACAACAAAACATGGATACTGCAGAAGGTGCTAACGAAGACTTGGAAGATAGTAATGATCTCCGGGAGCATATGGTTGGCATTTTGTTCAGTAGAAATAACTTGACGCATTTACAAAAGCAAGTTTGTTCGCATATTGTCCAAGCTATCCAGAAAGAAACTATACGCTTAAGAGAAGAATGGGAGACGTTATTATGTTCTCCGACTCCTGCTAACAGCTTGCTAAGCGATAACAGCGATTTGCCGAAAGCAGCCGATACGTATTGCTTCGAAATGTTATCTATGGTGCTAGCATTAAGCGGTAGTTCGGTAGGGCAATATTATTTGTCACACCAGTACGGATTATTGAAAGACTTATTAAGTTTACTACACACTGGATCAGCGAGAGTGCAACGTCAAGTATGTATCTCATTTATCATTCCCATTCTTGTGTTTTTATTTCTGCTAAGGTCTTTAATCATTCAATTTTTATTATCTAGGTAACGTCTTTGTTGAAGAGAATCCTACCAGAAATCAAGCCGGAAGCATTAGCTAACGTCATTGGTGTCAAACGATTACCGCCTACAGATTTCAGTATTGTGTCTGCGGCGAATAATGGTTTTACCCATAGTTCAGAATTTGACGAACATTCCCCAGGAATTCTCGACGTTTTTTTAAGTTGCATAGCTAAAGCGCTGACAGTTCAAGTTAAAGCGAAAGGGAAAGAAAGCAGTGGGAAAGCTTTGCAAACTGCTTCGTTAGCCACTAGCATTCATCCAAAGAGTCAAGTTGGCGCAAGATGGTGGTTGAGAGGTTGTATGACTCGAAAATTAGCCGAAGAGATAATACAACTTTTGAAGGACATGGCATCGGTATGTTAAGATAAAGCTTAAATTTTGAATATATTATTATTATTTACATTCTTTTAGGGAAAGTTATCAGAAGTTTGGGCATCTATAACTAAAGCAGCAATCGCGGAGAACATATTAAATCTTACAAGATTGGATGAGAAGAGCCGTGATCCTGCAGAGTGCCTAAAAACTTCAACATTGTGGCTCGCCCTTTCTTCTTTGTGCGTTCTAGATTCCGATCATGTTGAAAGATTATCTTCGGGCCAATGGAGCGGCGCTGAAGGACAGCCACCACCGCCTCGAGTATGAATATTAGAAGAATTTTTTACGAATTTAAACACATACTTCTCATACATAATATTCTACGATTTTTTTCAGCCAACATGTAGTAACCACGACGATGGAGAAACGACAGCAATTATTCAATGCAATGTTTGCGGAAACTTATGCGCAGAGTGCGATAGAATTTTACATTTGCACAGAAGAACGCGAATGCACATGAGACAAGTTTGTAAGGAAGAAGAGGAAGCAATACGCGTGGATCTCCACGAAGGTTGTGGACGAACGAAACTGTTCTGGATTCTCGCTCTTGCCGATAGCAGAACGTTAAAAGCATTAGTAGAATTTCGTGACGGATCACCGAGGAAACCCGTTGGTGCAACGTCTGGGATCTGCAGATTTTGCGGTACCACTGGTAATACAGGTCTGTTGGCGGTGGGGAATATTTGTGCGGATCACGATTGCCAGGAGCACGGTAAAAACGCGTGCAGTAAAGTGCACCCATGCGGGCATATCTGCGGAGGAGTCCGAAACGAGAAAACTTGTCTACCCTGTCTACATAGATGTCTTCCGGGTAGCAATTTGAAACAAGACGCTGATGACATGTGCATGATTTGCTTCACGGAAGCTCTGTCGGCTGCGCCTGCGATTCAGTTGCAGTGCGGACACGTTTTCCATCTGCATTGCTGCAGACACGTTCTGATGAAGAGATGGGTAGGACCTAGGATAACTTTCGGGTTTTCTCTTTGTCCTATTTGTAAAGTACCCATGGAACATCCTACTCTAGCCGATCAATTGATCAGCATAAAAGAACTTTATGAAGACGTCAGGAGAAAGGCCTTAATGCGATTGGAATACGAAGGCTTGCACAAGTAAGTAACGAGTTTGAAATTAAAAACTTAAAAACATATCTAAATGACTGTTAAATGTTTCAGAGCTGAAGCAGCTTTTGGAGCGAGTGGAAGATACCATCAAGATCCTGCTGCATACGCAATGGAACGATACGCGTATTACGTTTGTTACAAATGTCAGAAGGCCTATTATGGTGGTGAAGCACGTTGTGACGCACAAGTAGGCGGAGAGACGTTCGATCCTACAGAATTAGTCTGCGGAGGTTGCAGCGACGTGGCAAGGGCTCAGATGTGTCCGAAGCACGGGGCAGACTTCCTAGAGTACAAGTGTCGTTATTGTTGCTCAGTGGCAGTCTTCTTTTGCTTTGGGACTACACACTTCTGTAAACCCTGCCACGACGACTTCCATCGAGTCACCACCATCCCGAAGGGCGAACTGCCTTCGTGTCCTGCAGGTAAACTCACTTCCTGTTTTCCTACTCAAATACTCTTTTCCTCTTACGGTTTCGAAATTGTACGTAAATACGATTGTTAATAGGACCTAAAGCAAAACAACTTGAAGGGGACGAGTGCCCGCTACATGTAAAACATCCGTCGACTGGAGAAGAATTCGCACTTGGTTGCGGTATTTGCCGTAATCCGCATACTTTTTAAAACATAGAAATAACTTAATGCGAGATATAATTCTCTCATTGTCTCTTCGGGATGACAGAATTGGTAACTCTTGTTGAATCTTATCAATGCAAGTATACTAACATGAGTAAGTGGATATATAGTTCGATACAACCATCCTCACACAACTGAATACGTGGTTTGAAGTGCTATGTGTATATCGACATTCAAGAATTCTTATAATGATCATACAGTGGAATTGATGCAATATGGAAGATGCAAGAGGAATCAAATAAACAGAACTAGCAGAATAACTATGATCACGAATCAGATTCTGATGATGCGTGAAGCTATAATACTTGTTAAGTATTGCATAAGTCGTTTTTATTGGTAATTCTGGAGATTACCGAAACGCGTAGATAAATGAGAATGAAAGCTCTACGTATATTAAACTTCCATGCAGAAAAGAGAAAAGAAGAAAAAATGAGAGCTTACACGTGCATAAGTCATACAAAGCGTAGTGATTTTTGGTAAAATATTGTAGAGTATAAGCGATTAATATAATTCTCTAGGCTATTTAAGAAATATTTAATTATTATCGACAATGATCCTAATAAATTATATACGNACGATGGAGAAACGACAGCAATTATTCAATGCAATGTTTGCGGAAACTTATGCGCAGAGTGCGATAGAATTTTACATTTGCACAGAAGAACGCGAATGCACATGAGACAAGTTTGTAAGGAAGAAGAGGAAGCAATACGCGTGGATCTCCACGAAGGTTGTGGACGAACGAAACTGTTCTGGATTCTCGCTCTTGCCGATAGCAGAACGTTAAAAGCATTAGTAGAATTTCGTGACGGATCACCGAGGAAACCCGTTGGTGCAACGTCTGGGATCTGCAGATTTTGCGGTACCACTGGTAATACAGGTCTGTTGGCGGTGGGGAATATTTGTGCGGATCACGATTGCCAGGAGCACGGTAAAAACGCGTGCAGTAAAGTGCACCCATGCGGGCATATCTGCGGAGGAGTCCGAAACGAGAAAACTTGTCTACCCTGTCTACATAGATGTCTTCCGGGTAGCAATTTGAAACAAGACGCTGATGACATGTGCATGATTTGCTTCACGGAAGCTCTGTCGGCTGCGCCTGCGATTCAGTTGCAGTGCGGACACGTTTTCCATCTGCATTGCTGCAGACACGTTCTGATGAAGAGATGGGTAGGACCTAGGATAACTTTCGGGTTTTCTCTTTGTCCTATTTGTAAAGTACCCATGGAACATCCTACTCTAGCCGATCAATTGATCAGCATAAAAGAACTTTATGAAGACGTCAGGAGAAAGGCCTTAATGCGATTGGAATACGAAGGCTTGCACAAGTAAGTAACGAGTTTGAAATTAAAAACTTAAAAACATATCTAAATGACTGTTAAATGTTTCAGAGCTGAAGCAGCTTTTGGAGCGAGTGGAAGATACCATCAAGATCCTGCTGCATACGCAATGGAACGATACGCGTATTACGTTTGTTACAAATGTCAGAAGGCCTATTATGGTGGTGAAGCACGTTGTGACGCACAAGTAGGCGGAGAGACGTTCGATCCTACAGAATTAGTCTGCGGAGGTTGCAGCGACGTGGCAAGGGCTCAGATGTGTCCGAAGCACGGGGCAGACTTCCTAGAGTACAAGTGTCGTTATTGTTGCTCAGTGGCAGTCTTCTTTTGCTTTGGGACTACACACTTCTGTAAACCCTGCCACGACGACTTCCATCGAGTCACCACCATCCCGAAGGGCGAACTGCCTTCGTGTCCTGCAGGTAAACTCACTTCCTGTTTTCCTACTCAAATACTCTTTTCCTCTTACGGTTTCGAAATTGTACGTAAATACGATTGTTAATAGGACCTAAAGCAAAACAACTTGAAGGGGACGAGTGCCCGCTACATGTAAAACATCCGTCGACTGGAGAAGAATTCGCACTTGGTTGCGGTATTTGCCGTAATCCGCATACTTTTTAAAACATAGAAATAACTTAATGCGAGATATAATTCTCTCATTGTCTCTTCGGGATGACAGAATTGGTAACTCTTGTTGAATCTTATCAATGCAAGTATACTAACATGAGTAAGTGGATATATAGTTCGATACAACCATCCTCACACAACTGAATACGTGGTTTGAAGTGCTATGTGTATATCGACATTCAAGAATTCTTATAATGATCATACAGTGGAATTGATGCAATATGGAAGATGCAAGAGGAATCAAATAAACAGAACTAGCAGAATAACTATGATCACGAATCAGATTCTGATGATGCGTGAAGCTATAATACTTGTTAAGTATTGCATAAGTCGTTTTTATTGGTAATTCTGGAGATTACCGAAACGCGTAGATAAATGAGAATGAAAGCTCTACGTATATTAAACTTCCATGCAGAAAAGAGAAAAGAAGAAAAAATGAGAGCTTACACGTGCATAAGTCATACAAAGCGTAGTGATTTTTGGTAAAATATTGTAGAGTATAAGCGATTAATATAATTCTCTAGGCTATTTAAGAAATATTTAATTATTATCGACAATGATCCTAATAAATTATATACGTAGGTAAATTATGTATGTGAATGAAGTGTGTTATTTAAAAATGTGAATTACATTATGATGGATACATAGATTAAAGAAAAACGAAATCGAATTCCAAATGGATGTTTATGATCCGTATTATATATATAATACGAATTTGCATTCGCATTATAACATTCAGTATAGTCATACATTGCATTTCTCGTCACTTAATCACTTTTATTTGTTTTTCTACTTTTCCAAAGGGATAGTCTGCGCGCTATCATGCCTTTGACGTTACGTATTTATTTATCGGTGTAATTGCCTTGTATGTATTAAGTATGTATATTACGAGCGTTGTTTGTGAAACGATAGAGTCATTGTTTATATATATTCGTATACGAATGAGATAGCGTGTGAAGAATAATCGCGAACATTGAACGCAGATTGTTATTATTTGTGTCTTGATCTAGTGCAGATTAAATGAAAGTAATGATTGCGAAAAAATATGTCTACGACTTACCTCTATAGCTGGTTTTCCTGTAGTATTCTTGGCACTCCCACTGTGTGAATGACACTTGTTTGTTTCTATGATATTATAAAACGAACCGAATAATGAGCGCGCGCACTAATTAGACAAATCTCTATGTATATCCTAAACTAGTTTCACAGTCAAAAGATTTCTTCACGCAATTTTAATTCACTCGTCACTATCCTCTCCGTCTTCTTCTCTCATCCTTCTGTTTGAATATGGTAATGAGACAATTCGAGAATTAAAATCGCGCGCATTTTTCGACTGCCGACCAATCGATCCAAGATGGAGGCCGTGCAATAGCGCCGCGACACGGCAGTTCCAAGCAGTTCGTCTCAAGCAGTGCGAGGTGTAACGTGTGTGTGTGGTGCGCGCGATCCTGACGTTTTTCGCCTTGATCAGCGGTAAGTAGCCTTTATTTACGAGTCGTGTAACAATAGTTATATAATTCCGAAGTCGTGTGAATCGCGTACGCCCGTACATTGGACAGCCTTAGGTGGGAGATATTAGTTTCCCAGTGGGAAACCGATCGTGCAATCGCTCTCGGTCGGAGATGATCTCCTACGCACGTTCGTGCCACCCCGCTAGCACTGCTGTCAACTCGCTCTGTTTATTTTTATCACGAATTCGAGCCAATTACAAGTCGGCGGATAGTTTTATTGGAAAAAATTACATGATTCCTCGGCTCAAACGAGAATCGTCCAGTCATTATTTTACAGTAATTTACTTGATTCATCACGCGATTCTTTTACGGTACGGTCTATAAAAAAACAACAGACGGATCATCTACATTCGGATGATGATCGCATCCGGTATATCTCCCCTTTGACTCGTCTCCCCGAATATTCTCGCGAAATTAGATTGTCACGGCACCCGAATTCTTGCCTAGTTGTCGTCTGCTGTGTCGATACTTAACCTCACTTTGCACACTTAACTCGGAGTGCTGTCAAGTTATAGACGCCTCCGAGGCTAAGTGGTCCTTGAAATCTGGAAGTCGATAGAATCCATAGAACAAGGCGCTTTTCTGTTTTATCGTCTAGCTTTAGAAACAATAGAACCATCCCCGAAGCATGCATTTAACCTTCTGCAATGCCATGTGACTCGGAAGTTACAATGCTCATACGTCTATTGCCAAAATGTTATTACATTTTATTATCGCTGTAGTATTAATGGTACATCATACTACTGGCACCAAGACTCATTAGTTATTAGTAAGTAGAAAATAAGAATCATGATCTTTTTGTTCGTACTGTGTTCAAACGAAATTGTAATCATTTCTCACAAGTCCGTTCAAAGATATCGATGTTCCTTTCCTGTTGATGTTAAACGTGTTGTTGAGACTCCCGCTGTTCGATAAACTTTAATATTAATCACCATGTCTGGTGAATCATGATGAAAGTCAATGCCACAACCGTAACTCCTGTGATAAATTATTGCCTCGTATGGCAAGTGTCAGGGTGTAGTAGGAGAGCATGCAACTCAAGTATTGATAAAATTACAATGACTATCTTGAGTTTTGTAATTCCGATGCCTGCACGTTCGTTTAGCATTACACGATTTGACGTGTTTGCGGTGAATCGATGGACCCGATATTGGTAACCGGACGGTGTGGTAGTTACGGCCATGGCATTCCAACGGGGAACGTATTTTGTGGGAGTTATTCGGATTCACGTGAAACTGGTTTTAAGCACGTGTGTGCCACGCGGTCTAATGCATTTCACGCATCACACGCATTCGTGCGTCGAGCACGCGCCCGTCGTGCACGTTGCGTTGCGGTTCGCATACGCACACACTGTCTCTCAACAGACCGCACTTTGTTGATGACAATGAATGACTCGTTCTTGTCTGCTTCCGTTTTCTCGGGAAATATCGCAACTCGTACCAATGCATTATGCTATTCCTGAAGTAGCATATTTAGAATTATGAACATAAAACGAATCGTAACACATTTCATTCCTCATTCATTTTCATTGTATTTTATAAATATTTATGACGCTATAAACTATGTCCCTGAAGCTTTGAATTACATCCAGACTTGGGAATTGGATGAAGGCACCAGGCAATCGCAATATCGCGTTCATTTTCGCGTTCAATTAATCCGACAAGCTCTCTGTATTTGATGAAATCCGAATGCCGTGCTCGATGGTCAACACGGCAGTAATCTCTATGATTACTGCAGCGGCATGGGACTGTCGCGATTGAAGTCAACTTTGCCGGTACTCCGGAAAACCAGTTTTACTCAGAGATCATTCTGTCCCGTTATTTTTACTGAATCGTATGCATTACGCCCGTGCCATATGTCGCAGCCGGTACGTACCCGCACGATGTCGTGTCGAAGGCACATATTCCAAAAACCTTCATCGTTTCCGAATGAAATCGATTCCAGCCGACACTGAATTCAAATTTATTTGATACATATCAGTACATTTTCGCTTTCTAGCGATGCTTATCTTCGTTTTATCATTTTTTGAAAGGAAGAATATGTGGAACGTAAAATGTTACTGGCTTTCGATTTCTAATAAGGAATTCTTTTTATAGTTTTTACGTTTTGTTGTATCTATTA